TCTCCGGCTGAATAAGGCCAGAGCTGCAGCAGGGGAGGGGGAGAGGAGCAGGAGGCCTCCGCAGAGCTGAATTACTCCATTATATCAGATCAAGAGAAGCATTTCTGTGTTGGAGAGCTGCGGGTACAAGCAGTGCTATTTTGTACTTGCTGCAACTGGTGTACTTGATCTCCTGCACCACTGACACACAGAGAAACCCAACATCCCCCCCCACTTCTTCCCACCCCTACTGCATTTCTTTGCAAAAAGAGGACCCAAGAAAAATCAACACCAGGGAGCAAGTGTCCAAGTCAAACCCAGGCCAAGAGGGAAAAACAAATCCTGCCTTGGCGTCCCCTCCGGGAGACAAATGACAAGCCTCCCCCGAGGGCCACCCGGGGACTGAGGGACCTCCCCGGCGCTGCGCTGTGTCCTCCAGCAAACTGAGCAGCGAGGGGCTCCAGACCGGCTGGTATGCTCAGCGCTTTCCAGCAGCTCTTACGTAAAGAGCCCAAGTTCATTAAACCGCTGGCCTGTGTGTTACCTCCAGGGCTACAGCACAGACCCTGCGCCACCCCCCAGCAGCTCAGGGGTGCCCGCTGCCTCCAGCGTGCAGCTCGGCCCCGCTCTGCCCCGGCAAGAGGCTTTCCCGGGGCACAGACGCTGCACTGCTCGAGCGGGGACACGCACCGCGCCGGCACAGATGCGAGCAGGGTCCTCTGCAGCAAAACCACCGGTCACCAACCTGCGGGAGCTGAGCCCCCTGCACCCTGGGTGCTGCTCCAAGGGGGAGCATGAAAGGAAATTAAGGATCAGACCAGTGCCTTCAGTAAGTGCTTTACATTGCAAAGCGGGCACCTAAGTTATTTCAGGGCCTGCCTCCTTTCTCACACAACATACACCCTTAAAAAAACCCAACAAAACAGCGTGTAATACAAGAGACAGCTGATGCTACAGAGGACGAGCTGCCCCCTCACTTATTTCAGTGCAAAGGTGTGTGGGTGGAGAAGTGCGGAGTTGCTTTTAGATGCTTAAAGAGCAATCCAAGCCCCGATAGTTTTGCAAACCTCCTCTCCCCTTCCCCCTACGTGTCCTCAAAGAGCCCAGTTTGTTTATAAAGTTACTGCTCAGGATGTGGGAAGGGAGAGAGCGAGGCGGGTTGTTTTTCAGGCTGAGCCCGCCTGCCTGCACCATCCTCCCCAGGTGCCGGAACTGCTGTGGCCCCGCTGGAGAAGGGGCTGCTCACCAGGGACAGGGGAGATGGCCTTGGGGACACCTGGGGTCCTCCCTCAATCCAAGCTGAGGTATTGGGCTGCATGAGCCCTCTGCAAGAGCGCTGGGGATGGTGCCAGCGGGGAGAGTGGCATCACAGGGCACAGCCTGGCTGCTGCGCCCTCCCCCAGCAGGGTCATGCTGCTCACCCTTGCTTTGTGGTTGGGTTTTTTTTAATGCACAGGTTCAAAAAGGAGCAGTAACAGCATTGCTGGAAGGAGGGGAACACATGAGTCCTCCAAGGCAGAAGCAAGTTCCTCCCCTTCCTCCATTCATTTTACATTTGTGCTGCCGGGAGGTGACATCCCCCTTCGTGGGTGAGATGCTCTTGCAGCACCGCAGAAAGGCAGCACCTCCTCCCCGAACCACAGGGCCTCCCCGGTCCCCGCTCTCCCTCCAGTTCTTTGCTTTTCAGGGCATGAGAAGGAAGGTGGGCTCAGCCAGCCCTCACCTGGGGGAACAGGGATGCATTCATGTGTTTTTCTGGTTGGGTTTTTGGTTTGGGTTTTTTGTTTGTTTGAGGGTTTTTTTGTTGTTGGTTTTTTGGTGGGTTTTGGGTTTTTTTTTGTTACACACATGGCAGGACCGTCCCATACGCCACCGCAGTGTTTGTCTGCAGCTGCAGTAACCTTTGCTTGCGGTGCTCGCTGCCTTTCGCCTGCGGCTGTCCGACACCAGCCAGGGCAGGAGTCGCAAGCTGGTGGCCAAGCGGGGCCTCTT